GTAATAGTTTGAAGTACAAACACGGAGGGACGCCTTCCTATTTTGTTCCAGGGGGGCGGGGAACGGAGGAGGGGGTTGGTATAAATATGGTGGACATAAGGAGAAGTCATAGGATGGATGGAGGTTGAGCCAGCGGAGAGGACGGTCCTTCTCCTCCACCTCATACCCCTGCAGCAGATGGTGCTGTGTGGTTCTGCCTCAGAGCGCTGCTGCCATAAGGAGGCATGTTAGTAGGAGGGTTAGGGTGATGGTGCCTGGCATGGCCTACAAAGTGAAGGTGAAGGGGAGAAAAAAAACATGCTCATTTTTTGCCCTGGGCTGGCTCAGAGGTACGCCGCCGTTGTGTTCCCATCTCTGTGATTCAGCGGTGATACGGTGCGAGGAGTGGAAAAGCTTCAGATTCAGAGTTTCCGCTTCATGGTTCGCAGCGTCGCGTTGGGAATTCTTTTCTGCTAATAAAACACTTTTGTAGTTTTTAGTCCGTATTGATCGCAGGTCTTGCGTCGGTTAAACCCCATTTAGCTGAATTGGGGGTAAATCGTTAAGTGGCTCCGCTGCATTCGTCTCCTACTGCCACACGTATCATATAGTTTCCCCTACAGCATTGTTTCCCAAAGACTGGGTCGCGGCCCTCAGGTGGGTCGCAAGAGTTTTTTTTTTTGGATCGCCTCGCGAAGGTTTGTGACTTTTAAAATATGGGTCCTCAGAAAAAAAGTTTGGGAAACACTGGTCTACAGTATGGAATACACTAGTGTAGTCTTTGAATCGTCACTGTACAAGCCATAGTACATACTACTACTACGTACTGATTCTCGGCACACCCATACAGTACGCACCGACATATACACAGAAACTTCTGGATCTGTGGCCTGGAAGAATGGAGCCAGTGTGCAGGACAGCAGGCAGCAGACGAGGGCAGGCATGTGTGTGTGTGTGTGTGTGTAACCATGTGTGAGAAAGTGTGTGTGGGGGGAAGTTCAGAGGGCCTGGAAATGTGGGCTAGGTTTTGGGAGGAGCCTTGACCTATATGTCTGAAATGCATTTGAGTAAATAGACAGAGTCACAAATAGAATCTGAGGCATTCTGGGAGCCAGAGTGTACGACGAACTGTGAGATTAGTGGTCACGAGTCTTAAAGTGACGCGAGGGCCGATCCTCGTAGGCCAGTTTGAGAAGAAATTATTAAAATCCCGACTGTTTCGGTGCCAAATATAGAAGCTTGTCTAAAAGTAGCAAATAAAGAGCCAACCAAACCAAAACCCAGTCCTGGTCTGCTCCTGTGACTCATGAGTCATTTTAATCTCACAGTAGCTTCGCCTCGACTAAGCTAGCGTGCGCCTATACCTTTAAATGTACAGGAGCTGTACATTAGAGTTAAGTCGACGGACTCACACTCATACATTTGTATGTAGATGCTGACCTGTAAAACTTGATATTCTTTCTTTTAATAGCTGTTAGAAATATAAAACGTTAATTCCAAGAGAAGATGAGAAGACTGCACACTCTGTAATCCTAATCCCTCACCCGTGTATAGAAGAAAAACTCAGATTGTATGAACTCTCTATGTGGAATCTCTACCCTGCCCAACCCTCCCCCCCCATACTTTAATTTCCAAGGTGCTTCAGCGTCAGCCTCTTAACCTGTCACAGCTCTGCCTCCCGTCCAACATTTCAGATTATGAAACCAAATCTGACTTAACTATGTCAGGATTTCTTTTAACTTTAAAGCCGTTTAGCCTACACTTCTGATCCGACTTACGGTGAGTGCACAGGTAGAACTGGAGCTGTGAGCGTTTTGCTGAAGACGTTTTTACTGATGTAGCAGCCGGTAGAGCTGTAGATGGATGTTTATCTTATGTTATGCATCATGCTGTAACTGGTCTGCGTTTGCACTGCCTTTACTGTCCACTCATTAGGCAAAGATATCCACAGATAGAATCGTTCCATATTAGTATGTGAAAAAAACAAAAACAAAAAAAAACCCAGATTTTTCTACTACCCTTAGGAACAACTCTGACATGAAAATATGTTAGTTCCATTTTAAGGATTTTTTTCTAAGTTGAAGTGATATATGCTTTTGCTTTACAGCAATAACATCACTGGTGCAATACCCAGAATGCTCTCTGTCTGTGCTGGGGTTTGTTACAGGTACAGTCCAGTTTAAATCCAATATAAAATGTCAGTGTAAACAGTAAGTAAATTTGTGCTTTTAGTCGTAGAATTCCTTCACAGCAAAGTTAATAAGGCAGGTAATTAAATAGTTAACTTAAATATAATGTTGTTTTTTCTTGCATTTATGTAATACTATTACGTATCATTTACAATTTTGGAATTTATGAATGACTCAGTCAGTAACAAACACGTGATTCCATGAAAATAAGACCATGATTTTAATGAATGGAGAGACTGGTCGCAGTTACAAACCCAGTTTTTCCATCGTATTATTCCACATTGATGCCAGAGGCGTTTCATTTATGAAAACTCAGGTGAATCTGCCTGACACGTGGCAGTTAAAGAGGAAAAAAGAAACACGTGACTATTTTACTGTTTATTCACGGCAGTGTTGTCCTTGTACGTCCGTGGTTCGTGTGTGTGTGTCTTTAGTTTACATTGTTAAACAGATCAACTCTAACTGCTGCCTTCACTCAGACACGTTTCTGTCATCATTCCTCTCACCATTCTTTCTTCCCTTTCTTTATTTTCTCTCAGTTTCTCACTGCCGATCAGAATGATTCTGGATATACGGTACATGCTGCGTATGAAAGCATATGCCTGTGCACGTGTGTGTGTGAGTGAGTGACTGAGGAGGGAAGTTTTCCAACTAACCCTCTCTTTTGAAACCCAGAGGGCCTGGCCGACAGCCGCCATGTCTCCAATATGGCAGCCATAAATCAGTGGGAGAAAAGAGCTGAGTTAATTGCGGGAGCGTTTATAAAGAAGAAAATGCTGATTGGTAAACCAGATTGTGTGTCGATATGCATCTATTGCCTTGGGATTATTTATCAAACTTTGATAGAAGCCTCGGTGAAGAAGCTAGAAGTTCATGAGGAAATTTCTTTTTTTTTTATGGAGTCGTAATGTGCACCACCAAAAAACGGACAAACAAAGGACAAGATAAAGGATTTGCATAATGCAAATGCTGTTAAAACAAAAGTCTTTGTGAGGTGAGAACGACGGTTAGTTATTCCTGAAAAGTTCGTTTTATGATGCAGCAGGCTTCGTAACATCTATCTTCTGTGTAATAAGGCAGAATATTCTAAATTATATATATTTATTAGAATGAAGAAGATATTTATTTTTTTAAGGAGATATTAACTGATGAGAAAAATTGCAAAAAAAAATTTGGTTTTGCTCAAATGTATTTAATTTCTAATCATTTATATGGAGGATATATATGGAGGATATATGCAGTAATATTGTGCCAGAAAGTACTGCATTTAAAAACACATCAAACTGGAATTTTAATACCAAGTCATGCTCTGGAGAACGTTGCCTCCTCGTTTTGAGTGCGATGCTGTAAAAGGGTTTGCAGTTGTTGCCAAAAATAGAGCCGCACCTCTGCCACCTCCAACTTACACTTATACAGTGTTAGCTGAGCTGTGCTCGTGAGCCTGGTTTAGTTCTCCTCTGTCTGAGACATTTCTGACAGCGTTTTTAGAGAAGCTTTTTAGGTTTGGTAGCTGCGGGCTTTTCCGTCTGCTGTGTTTGAGAACTTGTGGAAATTCTAGCGTCTGAGCAACGTGGGCTGGGTGGCAACGGGATGAGCAACAAGCCAAACACAACCTTAAATAATAATAACTTTTTACCTCCATACTTTAAAAACAAGTTAGGATGGTCATTGAAAATGATTATTTGTAAAGAACATCGTAGACTGATGTGGCCCTCCAATCATTTGGGATTGAGACTTTAATGCTAATGTGATGTATATTCGTTTTTTTAAATATTCTCACAGTAAGGACAGACACATCAAAAGCTGATGTTTTAAATTGTCAGAAATAAACATTTAACTATAGAGGAAATAGGTGAAGGACTCTTGATCACAGAAAGCTTTCTTAAACTGTAAAGGTTTAGGATTCCTGAGCCTCGGCCGTCTAACATCTTCTCTCTAAAACCTGACGGCCGTGTGTGAATAACCAGCTGACGCCCACGGAGCGTCCATCTTGGCTAATTACAGTAGTAGCGGTGATACTACTGCAGACCTGCTTCGTTGCTAACCTGCACAAAGACGGCACGATGAAGACGTTCACAGGGTTCCCGTGTTTGTCACACATCTGTTGCATCCACGCAGAGACAGATTCTCACTTTTCTCCTCCGTTCTATTCCGTGCCAGCAGACGCTAGGGTCTTCTTTCCTGTTCAGTGATGCTATCACGATTTTCAACAGAATTTCTGGCAGCTGTGCTCTGCACACACACACCCCCCTAAAAACACACTCACACACGCTCAAAGAGGTGGAAGTGGTGAGAAACCGTTGGGGCCGTGGTTTGTAGGTAGGCCATGAATGTGGCCCATGACGAGAACGATTCGTTACAGTAGAGTTGTAGCTGTGAAGACAGACGAAGAGTGGAGGACGAACAGAAGAGGTGTCCAGGTTCAGACACGATGACTGAATGACATCATACGTATGTCAAAAAGTCAGTGTTATTAAGATTCCACAGCAGTTATTTTTGTGATTGAAAATGAATACAGACAAAAACATGTGCTTGAATCAATTTTTGCACTGAGAGAAAAAACAAACAAACAACAGCCGTAACAAAAGCAAAGCTGTCTGTGTGCAAAAATACACAAGTAGTTAAGTAATAGCAACTATATACTGTCCACTGGTTGGGTCGTCATGATTAAACCCAAAAACTACAAATACTATATATGCATAAAAATATATAACAAAATATATGTATATAAAATATACATGTACATATATACATACATATACATCTAGTCTCTGTTGCCTGTCCCACTAAAGGTCAAAGGTCAACCCACCAGTCATCGAGCGGTCGGCCAAATCTGCATGTTTTTGTCAGAGACTTGAACCAATGATCTTCTTGTTGTAAGGCCAACCACCAAACCACTGTATGGCGATGTGGTGATGAAAACATTTATTTTATGGTCTCTTCATCTTAGACACAAGAAAAAAAAAACCCTCCTCACATTGTCTCTAGTGGAACAGAAAAGGAGAATTTTAATTAGTAGACTTTTTCGCAAAACAGAAATTTACTTTCTATTTCACCCCACATTATTGTCATTATGTGCCGTCAATTACTGTTCTGGGTAAGAGTTGTCACTTTCACGCCTGTGTTCAATATTTCTTTGCGAAACAAAAAGTCATTGTCAAGCAAAATCTTTTTTTTTTTTTTTAACAAAGGCCTGTGACCTGAATAGAGGAACCTCGGGTCCTCTCCTCCACACGGAGCGCTGCATGCTCCGAGGAGCTCGAATCCCTTTAGTTTTACTCCAGAGGGGATTTGAAGTGTATGAATATGGATGTGATGGTGATGAACCCGATGGTGAAGGTAGTCTCGTCTTCCTTCAGATAAGCTCTAATCGCATTTTGAGCCTGATGCGTGGAGCTAGGTGTAAACTTGGCCAGCAGCATTATGTAGATGGAGGAGCAGGGGGTATCACTGAGGCTGCTTTAGTGGGAGTGTGTGTGTGTGTGTGTGAGTGTGTGTGTTGATTACTGGATTACCCAGGCTATCACAACACTCACCCTTAAAAGAGGCACGTCTCTGTGTGGAAGGGATGGGTGGTGTGGAGGATGTTATCTGAACGCACATAATCCCAAACCAGGAATTGATCTCTTAACGTCACCTTTCTCAAGGTTTTTTTTTTTTCTTCCTCTTTCTTTTCTCAGGGCCGTTCTCCTCCTCTTCCTCCCCCTCCTGTTTCATTCAGGAGTTCTGAATCCATTGAACGTCTCCTGGTGCTGACAAAGCAGAGAGATGAAGACTTATAATTAGTTCAATTCCCTCATTCATATTCAAATTTCCACATCTAATCTCACCAGCAATATCTGTCAAGGAAAGAGGATTGGCTGGCCCGTTCCCATCCACAGATATGAGCGGTAACATCACCTATAGAGGACGATGGATTTAACTGTATATAATGTGTAGGTTTCAGTTGGTGAATGGTCTTTTTTTTTTTCATTTGCCAACAACAAACACTAATCTTTGAGATCGTGAGATTATTTTCCTAAACTTTCACCTTGTCCCTGTGAATATGAACTCTCACGAGGCTGAGCTGTGAAGTGATACTGGGCTAATAAACAAACTGAATGGTGTTTATATACAGTATTTTTTCTAAAGAACAAACAAGTGTTTGTGTCTGTGTTTTCATGTCGCTGTGCAGCGTACATGTTGAGACCCAGCGGACTCGGCTTGTTTTTGTTGTTGTTGTTGTTGTGGTGCTGATCTACTTTTCTGATGGTTTTCGTGCCTGTTTTCTCCCTCACTCATTGATGTCTTCCTTATTCCCCGCAGCTGAAAATCCAGTTAATGCCAAACCTTTAATATCTGAGCAGGATGATGAGGTTGGAGATATTGAGACAGTGTGAGCTTCAGAGAAGGTTCTTTTTTTTAAGTTTTTTTGGTTTGGTCTTCACCACTGACAAAACCTGTCGAAAAGACAGGGTGGAAAAATAAATCCAGAAAACGATCCATCAGGTAAAAATGTTGGTGCCTTTTCTAAAAGCCCAGGACTTTGGAAGGATGTATGATGTTCTACCTGATGGATTTTGGTGATTTTTTTTGTGTAATACTGGACAAAGAATTTCAATCAGACGGACAAATAGTCACAGGTTTGTACATAGAGAACAGGAATTGAACTCCTAACCTTTCAGCACTCTGCCTCACAGCTGAGCCCTGTGATTGTTAAACACTACATATAATACAACTGAGAAAACCAACTAAAATATTAGGGTTAGGGCAGTGGTTCGATCGAACCCCAGGGGTTCGGCGGAGGACCAGACACTCACCCGACTCATATGATTCGTGGTGACACGCCCCCCAGCTTGACCTTCACTGGCTGCAGGTGATCACGCTACATCGCTTGGCCTGTCTGTGCTGCAGGGACTTTGGTGTTCAGTTGTCGACTTCATCCACATATATAAAACATTTTTGCACATACATACAGTTAATACACTTCCACATTTCTCTTTAACACTGTCACACACTCTGCCCTAATATCAGGCCTTTTACTCAGCTTGACTCCTCTCTCTGGGGCCGGGCCTGTGTCACAACGATGCACTGAAGCTTGATGTTTATATATATTTATATATAAAGAAGAAGAAGACGGGAAAAAAGAAGCGCTGCTTCACTCACCTCAGGGTGTGCGGTCCATCCTTGGCATATATGGCCTACATGCTCGCTGGAGCGTAAGCCGATGATGCTTCTGCCTCCGCGGTGCCGCGGCTCAGGGTTTCGTCATTTATCACAAACGAGGTTTTATAATGTGCTCCGAGAACGTTCTAGATGGAGACGGAGAGTCACGCAGCAGCAAAGTCCAGCAGTCGTTTGTAACTATAACGGATATATGTGTGTGTTTGTTTTAATCACCGTGTCGTGCGTTGTTGTTTTAAAGATGTTGGATGAGGTTTGCAGCTGCAGACACTCTGTTTCAGAGGTTTTAGTTCTGGCTGTTCTTTGAAAAAGTCGTGGCCAATCAGAGGCCGTTTGACTTCCTGCATTAGTTAAAAAATTCAGCAGATATAAAAATATGGCCTCCATGATTAAAATATGTCGTGTGCATTTTTACCAAAGAAGAGGAACTGAAGCTAGACAAAGGAGGCATTAAGAGGAAAGCACAGTATGAATTATTTGTCTGAGAAATAATTCATGTGCAATCTCAAACTAGCTGCAAATGTTTTTTTAAAAAAAATCACATTTACACTTTTTTTTCCCTATATTCCGTTAAAACCTGAAAATAAAAACATACAAATATTTTCCATTGCAGAAATGTTGAGGCGTCTTCATTCGCTTGACCTCGTTTCCAGAAGTCTGTTTTTAAATCACAAAGTTGTTTTAGCTCCTCTGTGACGATTATCTCACATCCTAAAATCTAAAAGCATTTTAGCAGAGGCGGCTGCTGCTTCCCACTTTCACTTCTGAGTGTGTGTTTTAATGTTCTGCCTCATCATTAGGCGTCTTTTTAAGCACTTTAAATTACAACAAATACTTCAAGAAATAATTACCCCGACTGTCCTGATACTGTTGTTATTTAGATAATCTTCACACCAAAAAAAAAACAAAAAACACGATTCATCCAGTTCTGAAAGTAGGTCACACCCTTCACTAAGAAGGTTTAACAAATGCTAATTAGCCGGGGGTGTGATGGAGGCTCGACAGCATGTTAGCATAGCCCTAATTGGTCTGAAAGCACACATGTTTATTTTTCGTAGTCAGCTGCAGATATCGTGGCGGCGGAGGTTAATTTATGCTGATAAACAAACACCATAACTTAAATCATTTCTCAGGAGATGAACATCACGTCTATTTCCTCCAGTTTGAGCTGATGCGACTCCTTCAACCTCGTTCCCACCAACTGACTTTGAGGATTTTTTTTATTTATTTATTTATTTTTATTATCTGAGTCACGTATTTTGTCATGATGTTTCGAAACTGTTCCCGTCTGAAACGGCTCGGTGAAAATCCCTGAATAGACAGGAGCCGGTGTGTGACAAGGCCGGTGCCAGCTTCAATCTCACTCAGCGCTTGATTGACAGCAATGACATTTCATGGGTAGAAGCCAAGCATTCAGAGAACTCAGTCACAAGCCTGACCCACTACCACGTCCTTCCTCTCATGAAGGGTGTTTTCAGTTTCATTTCTTCAGTGTTTTGACTTCGGGAACAAGTATTTCTTAGTGTCTGTACTTTGACAAACGGATGGACGGAGACACAGGTTTGACCGGTGTTTACCTTTTTCTTTTTCATTTGAACCTTTTAGATAAAAAAATACTCACATATACAGTATTGTATAGTTATTATAATTCAGAGATATTGGACTTTAACCACATTAGCTGAACAATGTAAAAAAGTCAAGGTTGAACCAATTTTCACGCATTGTTAAACTTTCAACAATGCGTTAACAAATGTGTTGTTTTGCTGTTAGCATGCAAGCTAACAGCAAAACAACACATCATAGGTCATGGCAGGTAATGTTGACATCAGGTAATGGTATCACATCGTGACTGATGTCATGCCATACCAGAAAAATCCTCCTTACTCCACCTCAGGGCTTCACTCTGTTTCCACCTGCCGTTCCTCGTCGTCTCACCTATGTTATTAACGTCATTAACGTGGTTCTTGTTTAACTCGTTATACATCGACTGTTGACTTCCTGTCACATGACCCTGCGCTCACTTTTTGATTAGGGAACTGTTTTTTTTTTTTCTGTTGAGTTTTGACGTGACATTTGAACAGACATCTGTCATTCCTCCGTGTCATTTGTTTAATCCACTTTTCACCGGCCTGCCTCACGTCTGTGATTCCTACCACGGGGCACCTGATTACAGATCTGGGCTCAGGTCAATTGTCAGATCTCCTGCACACGGATCACTGGATAATTGGGCACTGCCAATTATTTTTGATGCATTGCATGTGATGCGCTTGATTCTGCCTCTGTCCCTCCTTCAAAACAGCCTAAGCTGATATCTGACCATCTGTAAAAAAAAGATTGGCTCCAACTGAAAATGTTTGCACATCTATGGAGGGATTCAATGAGCTGGAAAAAATATATATGTTCTACAGAATAAATAATTATAATAATACTACTAATAAAAAAACTACAGAATAAATAATTATAATAATACTAATAAAAAAAATGATGTTGGAAAGATTTTTTTTTGAAAAACATCAATTTCTGTTTTGACAACATCTCGTATGTGTGGTCGCAGCAAAATGCCACTTATTTCATTTCACTTAAATTGTGCACAGTTAACACTTTAATCACGTTGAGCACCATAATAATACAGTTAGTTACAGAGATGGCTGAGGCTAAGCCTTCAATCATTATTAAGAGGATAAACCTCATCTCTCTAATCTGAGAAGCCAAAAATAAACAAGCACTTTCTCCGTGCTGCAGCGCTGAAATGTATGTTTCCCCTCCTAAAGAGCTGCCCCTCCATTGTTCAACATGTGCCATTCAAAAATAAGACGCCACGGTTGGACTTGACCTGGAAATCAAAATGCAGAATTAGCCGCGAGGCTTTAAAAAACCTGCAGAAATACACACGCACAGAGAAGCAAACAGTCCGATTATTTTCTTTGTCTGTCAGCACTTGTGCTAATGCACATCCGTAGCCTGTCGTTCTTTGACACGCTGCACGCTCTCGCACCTCCTCTTTGTCTGTCAACATGCAGTACATACTGCACGCCGCCACATTCTTTCTTTTTACTGTAAGACTATTCATAGCCGGCTGCAGTCATCCTCATTCATCGGGATAATTGAGTATTTGTTGTGACTCTAATAACTACGTGTGAGCAGGACACGGTGCAGTACAGTGCAGTAACGTGTGAGCAGGACACGGTGCAGTACATGGTGCAGTACAGAGCAGTGTATCTCAGGTTCCTTCAGAGCTGTTTCTTTTTTCTTTCTCTTCATGTAGCAGAGAAGTGTTGGAGTAGTCCTGTGGAAAACCTAATGGAGTGTGTCTTTTACAGAGTTTGGAAGTTGACTCCCTGCTGTAAATGCAGTGAGAGAGGAGCAGGGGAGCAGCCAGGCAGGCGAAGACATCCGCCACCTCACACCAGGTGATGCACTGGGAAAAAAAAACCTCCATCCTGAGCAGTAATAACACGGCATCCAGGGCTCTGCGTGCTCGGAATATAATTTCTCCGGGAGAATAACTTAACTGTTCCATGTGACGCGGGTCTCCTTGGAGAGTGAACTTACTCCGGCACCTCTGTTTAAAAGCAAAACGCAGCAGACGGGTTTATTTGTAACTCCTTGTTGTGCAGTGAAGAGAAAATTCAGTTTACTGCAACAGACGTGACCTTGATTGTTTCTGTGCGTCTCGTTGCCCAAACACATTTCTAAAAAGGTATATTGATCGCTGTGGAGAAGATGCTTTATATAAAAACAAGACGATATTTTTCTCCTAATTAAGTTTCGATGAACGTCAAAATAAAAAGAGCTTCTTAGAAAAGAGACAGATGACGGACAAAGTAAAGTGTGGGTTAACTGTGACAGTTCTTAGAAAAGAGACAGATGACGGACACCAAAGTAAAATAATATTTACAGTGCTGCGTAAAGTGTGGGTTAACTGTGACAAGTGATTCTCAGGTGAAAAACTCTTAAAGAAGTAAATGTGACATTTATTGTGGCTTTTTGTGAAGTATTATGAGTTATACATTAATAATTGATGAGGAGAAGGACTGAATGGACTTCAGTTTCCAGTGGAAACTCGAGATACGAGTTGGCCCGTACATAGACACTTGATTCCGTTGCGTACACTACGTAACTTACGTAAACTTATAATTAACTTCCGTATGTATTTTTTTAACTTTTATTATTTCGATTTGCGGTCTTTTTTTAGCGGTCACCACGCTCATATTTATCGACAATTTCATGCTTTATTTCCATGGTCATCATGCGTTTCTGCTTCTCACCACCATCCTCACCACTCACTCTCTTAGGACTCATCACTATTGTGAAGAGTAACGCACAAAATAGAGAGAAAATCACGTAGATAACGCAACCATAATACAGAAGATATAAATATACTTATATACACAGTATACACAATTACAGTCAACATTTGATTGAAGATATAAATATACTTATATACACAGAAATTACAGTCAACATTTGATCCAGTGACACATTTTTTAAACTGTATTTTGTTCAGTAAATACATACAGACTCACACCTCGGTCCATTTATTGCAGCTCGTCTTTGACACTGTCATCGTGGCTGCTACAGGGTCAATGCATGTTTTTTTTTTGGTTTTTTTGTGACAATAGTCAGCGCAGGGAACAAAATGTCCTGGCCTCAATCCAAGCCTCGTTAAAGTTTATGGAAACATCAAATGGAATTCTTCACATACTGGGCTAGGCTCAGGCCGCAGTAATGTATGGAATTTATCTATAGTCGCAACCCCAACATCCACCCAAGGCTGGGCTGGGCCTCTTAATTCCAGATGTTAAATTCAGCCCCAGCAGTTCACATGTGAAGAGGAAACTGGAGTTGAAAGATTGAAGCACAGGGTGGGAAAAAAAAAAGAAAAAATGACGACTTCATTACTATCATAACGTCGGAAAAAACTCGCTAGGATTTTTTAAAAATATATACGGTAAATGTGGTTTCATTCACACATGTGAAGTAACAAGGCCCCGGGGAGGAGGTCTGGAGATGTACGTCTGTACGTATGAACCCACCAAAACCTTTTGTAGCTCATCGTCAGGGAGAAGTTGCCCTCTGGCTACGGAGCAGAGCCACTCTTGGCTCTCCTTTGAGATCCTGTCTGTTGTTGCTGTCTATTTGTGTGGGTAGGGGAGCATGTTAGTGACTCAGGCAGACAGCTGTAATTAAGGGCAGCTTCTCAGCCGGATGAGCAGCAAGAGATAATGTGGATGTGTGCAAACTACCAAAACCTCCCCGCCCATCCCCCACGCACAAGCCCCGCACAAAGTACGGGCAAATTATGTGGCACACAGGATCTGCAGTCAGAGGCAGAGGCCTGTGTGGAAGATGAAAGCGTCAGGAAATCTCTGTAATGAATTGGATAAGTAGGACAGCGCTCATTAGAGATGCGTTTGTGTACGTGAGACACTGGCAAGTCTTTATTTTCAGAGAGACACAAACACTGGCACAAGTCGGTGGAATCAAAAGGACGTAATGTAGGTTTTTAACTCAGAAAATCTGATTTTTTTTTTAAGTCTATCGGGTAAACAAAGATGTATGAAGTGGCGCCGCCCTGCTGGCGTCTCTATTTTGTGATAATGCATAGAGAAAAAGGTTAGTTGTTAAATTCTTAAAAGTTTGTGACAAAAAAAATTCTGACTTTTGCCTTTGTATTCTGACTACTTAATTAAAAGATTTAAGTCAGAAAATAATAAAGTCTTTAATTTTAAAACAGTTTCCTGGGACAGTTGACATCAACTAAATGGAGTTTTACAGATACTTTAAAAAAAAAAGCCTTATATTTTAATCCTCACTTTCATGTCTGTATTCTGACTTTAATCACACAAATATGGTTTTCTTTTCATAATTCCATTTGTCACTGATCCTCTTTCAGTTGTCCAGACTCTGTGGACAGAGAAAACTAAAACGAAATCTACTTCTGTCCACTCTGGTACTTCTTGTCCCTTCCAGCTGTGCAAAAGTATTTCAAATAACCTTAGAGACACACAAACATTAACCAAAAAACTCTACTGTTGATTTCTCCACGAGAATCCCCAGAAGTCTGTTGACTGAGAGCTGCCTTATCCTCAGCTGCCACCTCAGTAAACCTGCCTAACCCCGGTCCACTCCAGTGCTCAGAATAAACACTGGCGTCGCTGCCTGCAGCTTCATTGAACAGACACTTCCTGTGGTTTAGGGCTGTGATTAACCAGCTCCTTTATGCTCCCAAGCACCCGTTGCTTTTGTCGTCACTACGCCTCACTTCCTCCTCACCGGGAGAGCAGTGGAGAAAGACAACAGAGAGCTCCCAGGCCTGGTCAAACACACAACCGCACTCACGTTAACCCACCATTGTTTCCCCCCATCTCCTCCGCTGGGGTTATAGAGTAGAAGACTGGGAACCTCATCGCAATAAACCTCTTAACATGTTTAGAGCCCCGTGGCCCCTTTCTGGGTCGGGGCGT